CGCCAGCCGATCAGTATAGTCTAGGTATCTGGCTATTATAGGCCGCGGACCTTTCCTGTCGGAGTTGGGAGGTCCCACACGATGTGCTCGTTCCACACTGCATCGGGATCTAGGCCTAGGATATCAGGGATATTGTGAGCGCAGATAGACACCAGCATCTGTGGTCGGTATGACTCTGGCAGGCCTACTATCCGTATGTTGTTGCGACGGGAACGGTTCTCTAGGTCATCCACCTTGTCCAGTAGAAATTGGACTTGTTTGTCAGTAGCTTTCATTTGAGATGTATAGGTGTCCGCTCCTTCCTCCAGGGACGTTATCCGGGTCTCTGCCTCGGTGATCCTGTGCGCTTGATTCAGGAGGTCGTGGCGCAGGGATTGTATGCCTTTGAATACCGCCTTGTTGACTGCGTCTTGGATGGTGGGGCGAAGTAGTTTGGCCACCTCTGCTGCAATCATACCGTGGTCCGATAGCGCCGGCATGTCTTCCTCCGAAGAGGCGCTCGCATCCCGCATGTCGGGAGTGGCCGCCATCTTGGGCTGTGTTTGAGGCCGCTTTCCCCGGACAGGAGTGCCTTTGCCTCTCGGACCCGTTCGGCGTTTTGCAAGGAACTTGTCCATGTTCCTGAGGGGACAGGTAGCAGAGCAGGCTGTCGGCAGGCTAGATCGCGCTGTTGAGGTCCTATTTTATATATAGATTAGTCCTGGCTATTCGGGAGCTCTGCACCCTGCGTCCGCTACATCAGGCGCCGGAACCGGAAGTCCTCATAGCCTTTGCTTTAGCAATGTTGCTCTGCTTTTCTGCATCTCTCTATTTCTTCTGTTTTTATTGGGTAACCTACAAGGTACACCCATTGGTCAGTGTCTGTTAGTAATGCAATAGTCTAATAAAAATAAAGAACAGTTCACCTGTCACTGTCAGTTAGGCCCCATACACACGGGACGTTCTGTGATCCCTGCAGCAAGAACCTACAGATTCCTGCAGCAGGAATCCCAGATCTCCATGTTCAGATGTGGTCACTGTACCCGTTCATGTTAATGGCAGCGTGACAGTGACTGCATCTGCTGGCGGCAGTCCGCATGTAATCACAAAAGGTATAATTACATGCGGTTTGGAATAGATGATTGTCCCTGATAGCATCCATCCTGCATCCAGCGACAATCATCTGTCCCAAACTGCATGTAGTCATACCATGAACAATTACATGTGGACTGCCGCTTACAGATGCAGCCACTGTCATTAACTTGAATGGGTGCAGCAACCATATCTGAATGGGGACACCTGGGATTCCTGCCGCAGGAATCCATATGATTTTGCCTTAGGAATCCCAGAACGCCCCCTTGTGAATTGGGCCTAATAACTCGGAAATTGTAATAGAGTGCAGTTACTAATAGCAGCCAATCTCATGTCAGGTTTCATAAGTAGGATCTTTTATCTTTTCTTTATTTGACTGTTAAATGGCAGTGCAGTGGACCATTTCTGCAGTCAGGTCAATTGCCTTTATATAGTATAAGTTGTATATTTATAAATGATTCAGCATCAAATTTGCCAGTAATTGTTATAGAAATTCACCCTTCTAACATTTAGCCACATGTGCCTGGCATTTTATGCCTACATTCACCCTTCTTATCATAGGGTGAATGTGTTCTAGTCAAATGTGACAGCCAGTGAAAAGCTGATGAATATCAACTTTTAAAACAGCTTTTAACCCGGCAGGCATATATGCGGACCTGAACTCTCAATAGAGCTCCCTCCCCAGATATGCCATCTGCCATTCTCATAACAAGAGTGTAGTCAGAATGAAACTTCCTTCCAGGTTGATGCCAGGGCACTTTCCCTTCAGGGTGCTTTGATAGGGAATCCCTGACGAGGGGGCTTTATGTTCTACCCCCATGGTGAACACTTAGATGCCGAGTCTACTAATGTTATGTGGTGTACATTGCATGTTGAACTGTGTTAAGCATGCTGCAGACATGACACACGGAAGAATCAGCTTAAAACATTTGCTTCTCTAATCCCTGCAAATAGAGGAGTCATAATATGCTATAGTGTTACAGTAGGAGAGATGGACTGTGTAGTAATACGTGGAGTTTTGAACCTACACATTAAATGGTCCCTAGTGATGAATTGCATCTTATTTAATTAGTGGGAAATTAAATGAAGTTCAACTTATTACCAAACCCACAAAGAAAGTATATAGTGCTACCAGCAGTAGTTTTAGTATATGAATAAGCATTAGGAGGCATTTTGCCAATCTTTCTTAGGCACTTATAGTCTATGAATAGGATAATGGTCTATCAATGGAAGCCCATTTGGTGGTGTGAGTATTGTTCCTGAGTTATATGCAGTTACGGGCCAGCATCCCACATCTAGGAGAGTTTCACTTAATGTAAGTAGGTTAGTCTTCCATACGTTTTTATTATAGATTGAGGTGACCCCCCCCCCCTTTTCTGAGAACCCTAAACAGATCACTGTGCATGTGGGTCAGTAAGAATAAAACATCCCACATACACACAAATAGTTTTTCTGTGGTTAATATGACTAATGCTTACATTTCAGGTTCCAGTAGATTCTATGGCTGTTCCTTGGCAGGTCTCCTTTAGTTCCGAAATCTAAAAAGAGATGCAGAACTCCTTTCTACCTCCCTTCTCAACTTCTTAAACAGAACAGTATCTGTATCTTTGGAGGTGTATCTCCATTTTAGGGAAGCCCTCCCTCCCCAAAACTGAGGGTCCTGCAGATTGGCATTAACATGCAGTGAACTGGCCACTTACTGCCTACTGCCGTGGCAATACCAGTTGGCATAACTAGTTATTCCTGGAGGGGGGGGCACACTTTTTTAAAATTATTTATTGATTTTAAAAAATACATTAACCCTAAGAGACCCTTTGTTAAAGCCCAGCTTCAGAGCGCTCCATAGGCAGTAATTGAATTTTCATTGTGAAATACAATGATTCAGCATCTCAACACTGTTGAATTTTAGTCTCAAAGGAGTTCAGTGAATGTACAAGGAGGGTAACATTCACCCTTTTTAAAATGAATGTAACAGTAAGCACCTCATGTAAGAACAAATGAATGGATGTTAGGGAATATTGGGCAAATGTATTGGAAATGTGTGCATGTTGCCCAGTTAATTTTGAGAGAATGTTGGGTGAATAAAGGGTGAATGCCGCAGAATCCTTATAAATTTACCCCTATAGTGACACTAAACAAAGGAATTAAACCTTAAAAATAAATTCAAGTACCTTAAATATTCACAGAAATGTAACTTTTATTTGTGGATCACTCAGCTGTAGAACCTCAAATTATCTCTGAATTGGTGCTGACACTGTCCATCTTTCTGGAGGGTGGCTACTTTTGTTCCCCATGGTCCCTGTGTGTGTTGTAACGTAGCCACCACTCCAAGTTCACTTTCGTTATGGACTTCAATCACAAAACAAATTAGTAAACTAATCCTGAGATTGTAGTCCATCAAGGGAGTGAGCTTGGAGCGGTGGCTACTTTACAAAACACACACATAGGGAACAAAGGTAGCCACCCTCCAGAAGAAATGAGTGTCAGCACCAATTCAGAGATGATTTGAGTATCTACAGCCAGAGGCGTAACTAGAAACCTCAGGGCCCCAGTGCAAGAAACCATTAAGGCCCCCCCCCCCCAAAAAAACATGATTTTGATACCTTTTTTTTTCTATTAAATAAAAAGTATGTTTTTTTTAAACTTTCAGGGCTAGTGCACACCAGCTCCAGTGTGTTCCGGACGATTTAGTGCTGGAACACACTGGATTGCATCCCGGCCAGCTCACTGCGTTCTGCGGAAGAAGGGGGCGTGGCGGTGCATTAAAGTCAATGGCAGCACGGTGCTGCACTGGAACGCATGGCAAATCAATGCCTGCGTTCCGTTGCGGTCAGAAAAAATAGTGCATGCAAATGGAGTTCCCTGACTGGCCACACTACAGCGACTTCCCCATCCCTCTGTCTGAACTGCGGTCCACAAATGTCAAAAACACTGTGTGTGATGGGCCCTCTTCTTTCTCCCTGGGCTTCCCCCAACTGGCCAAATACCAGGGCCCGGTCGCAAATATTTGGTGCTATTCTGCATTGCTGTATAATGATTATACAGTAATGCAGAATAGCTCCAACTATGCAGGACTGCAAATCCCAGCAATACATTATAATGTGAATAAATATAATAACAGCAGCAACTTCTTACTCCCCTTCCCCCCACACTGGACTTACCTGACTCCTACAGCCGCTCAGCTGCCTCGTCTTTGGCGGCCAGGGGGCGGGGCTGAGTGAAGAGCGTCCGTCCTCTCCCAGTCCCAGCTGAAGAATGTGCTGCCTGGCGGTGCCTGCTGTGTCGGTAGCGGCCCCGCCAGGCTGACAAGTGACAGACAGAGCCTCTCTATCCCCGCACAGCCGCCCGTACAGGCAGAGCGGCGGTGGATGGAGCGGCGCTATCTGAAGGGGGAGACAGCAGTAGGAAGCTTTCGGGCCCTCTGCTTCCTCTCTGCCCCCCCCCCCAACAAGCAGAACGCCAGGGCCTGGTCACAATTGCGACCGCTGCGACCCTGGTAGTTCCGCCAGTGTCTACAGCTGAGTGATACACAAATAAGATACATTTTTGTTAATAGTTAAGATACTTGAATGTATTTTTAAGGTTCAACTCCTAAGTTTAGTATCACTTTAAGAGAGTCTTTGATGATTTCATAACCATATAACTTATTAACGGTGTCCAGATAAATGGGGCTGTAAAACGTGGACTAAACAATGGACTTCATATACTGAAATCCCTTTTTACAGGTATTATCTACAAAACAGATTACAACATTTTTCGCTCTAGTGTTCCTTTAATGTCCATCTGGATTTGATGGTTGCAGTGCCATTGAATCTAATGGTAAAACTGTGTTATTGTCATGTCACTTGTATAATGGATTGCCTTTCTGACCAACTGACTGAGCTATTATGTCCAGTAATGAGCTCCTGTGTTTTCTCTTTTTATTCTAGGACAGTTTTCCGGCCCGTTTCGGAGGCGTTCATTTTGTCAATCAGCCTTGGTACATCCATGCATTGTATACAATAATTAAACCGTTCCTTAAAGACAAGACCCGGAAAAGGGTAAGGCTTGTGAACACATGTAAGACCGGCTTCCTGGGTTGCCTAGAATTCCCTAAGGACTCAGGATAACCTGATTTTCCTGGTGACCTCTGAGATGAAGTCACATCACATGTCGCGATCCCAGCTGTAGGCTGCAGATTGTCCGCGCCTGATCAATAAAGCTGTGACAATGGATTATTTTCAGTGGGAGTCACTGTGCTGCGGGTATCTTTGATCTTCAGAGAGAACGAGAATGAAGCAGTTGGAATCTCATTTCTTAGACGATAAAGGGAAAATATATTAAAACTCCTGACAGAGCCAGGAATCTGTAATTACATACAATGGAAGGAAGGTTCAGCTGCCGTGCATAATCGCGTATATCTGTTTACAGCACAAGGTGTTCCATTTCATAATTTCATTATCTTCCAGTACCTGGATCTATTGAGCCAAGAGCTTTTCTTGTGAACGTGCCTAACGCTCAGATGCACAGTCTTTGCTCTTCATGAGAACGCCACATTTTTTTTCTTTTACATTATTTTAATGTTCTCATAGCTTCAGCGCTGTAGCTTGATACTTGGAGAAGCGTTAACTGTTTGATGCCAGTACAATACGGACACTGGCAGCAATTAAACACGCTAGTGAATCTGTGTACTATAAATAATACATCTATATACAGTACTATTAGTGATTAATTATAATAAGTATATGATATTATAATAATAGGTACAGGTACATTTATAATAGTTATACTATAGTATAATAGGTACAGGTACATTTATAATATAGTATAATAGGTACAGGTACATTTATAATAGGTATATTATATTATAAAAGGTACAGGTACAGTTTTCCAAAATTCAGACATTCGGAAACATCCGAATTTCCAAATCCCAATGCATCCAAATGTGTCCAAATAAGAATTTTCATTTACGAATTTCATATCCCGTCCGCATTTCGATCAAAAAAGAAATTGAATTGGACATGCTACTTTTCTAGCCAGATGTGTTTTTCGGTTTAATGCATCCAAATGGGTCGGAATCCAGATTTTCGAATTGCATTCGGGAGCTCCAGAATGCCATTCGGGTCTGGGACCTTAGGTTTAGTTTTATGTATATATGGGTCACAATGTTGCCGCTACGAATATTCAGTCGTATTATAGACCACTACTTATATATACATAATACTAAAACGGATGCTCCAAGAGAGCTCCTGAATGCCATTCGGGTCTGGAAGCCTCAGCTTTAATATGACACCCAGACTCGTACTGCTTTCTTGAGCTCCCGAATGGTATTCGGAAATTTGGACTCCCAAATGCCTTTCGGGTCTAGGAGCTTCAGCTTTAGTATTAATATCTGTATATGGTTCTCTGTGGTATTCACAACGAATATTCGTAAACTCATCGGAAGCTAACGAAAATTCGGATTTCCTTCGAATACGAAACCTGATCCGAATTGAATTTCGGATCCAAATCCCGAAATAACGAAATAACCGAACCAAAGTTTTTCCGCAGCTTACATGTCTAATGCCAACCCATTCCTTGTGTACCACAATCCACAATAATGTGTGTTAACACAACGGATAGTGCGAATGGACCCTAATAGTTTCTGCTACATGATTAAAGTTGAGACGCATGCAAGTAGCTATTTACACAGATTATATACATATAAGGGAAATGTTTACCTGCTAAAGGATTTGTATTTTTGTTCATCCAGTGTTCATCCAAGTTTTACCCAACTATGCCACACAGCAAAGCCCTGACTGGCAAGGCAGAATACCTGATTTTCCCTGCTATATTTTGGTAACACTAACAGGTCTTGTCTGTGCCCGTCTGTAACTGGGCAGCGAAAGGAGAAGCAGCAGACTGATTTCATCTCTCTGTTACTAAGCTCCCTCCTCTTATCAGTGTGCTCCTTGCACTTGGTGCTCATACTGCCTGCAATTAAAAAATACATTTAAGTGTTTATTAATAATTAGAGAGCTGCATAACTTGTGTATTTTATATCTGCCTGGAGCTCAGCTTTAAAGAAGATTTTTTTTTTTACCCTGGCAGTGGGGTTACCTCCACACTGCAAGGGTTAAGTGTTTGTTTTGGTCTAGGTGCAGAAATAACAAAGTTATACTCAAATGAGCCTCACAGCTGGCAGGCTGTTACAGCGCTCCCTCCAGCCCGTCTGCTCCTCTGCTGCAGTAATGATACATCCCTCGGCGTTCTCATGTCCAATACACTGTGTATAGAACATGACGACTCAGGGATCTTAGACCACTGCAGCGGAGGTGGGAGAGACGTCCCAGGGACCAGTCTAACAACAAGTCGGCTCGGAGGATCAGGTGAGTATAATGTTTTTATTATAGCACCTTGATGAAAATAAGCAGTTAATCCTTGCAGTGCGGGAGTAGCCTCACTGCAAGGGTTAGGAAAAGTTGTTTTTTCCATGAGTTCTTCTTTAAATCTCAGCAATATGCGATTGGAAGAGTTTAAATGTTCAGTTCACATTAAAAGTAATATGATACCAGGAGATTCTAGTAGTGCATCCGAGCTGCTAAAAATCACCCGTGTAGCACCACTGTTACAATACTGAAAAATTCTGCTTTCCTCTATTTGCGCATATTTTCTATTCATTTGAATGAAGTTGTTCAGAATATAAATAGTGTATTAGCACATTTGTTTTCCAGTGCATCTTAACTGAACAAACTTAAATAAAATAGTGTAAACAAAAGCAACCAATCAGAAATGAATTTTTATGACCACCAGCAATCAAGCTGATGAAGGATGGCTTTGACTGGTTAAGCGGAACTGGTTAAAGCGGAAATAAAGTAATTGAAGTCGTATTAAACGCTCATTTAAAAAAAAATGATACATTCATATCAGACAAATATACATTGCCAAACACTTACAGCCATCATATTTCCAAATAACTCCAACTCTCTCAGCTCAGCTTCCCTGAACGTCCGGTCCAGTACAAGAACACAAGGGACAGCTGCCCAACTACTTGCTTGGAGAGGGAAAAGAGAGGAGAGAGGATCAGAGAGACCGTGGAGTGTCTTGTCTTACCTTGCTGTGTCTGTGTGTTTGTAGTAGAACAGAATGTCACCAGCACACCAAACAATGTGGTCAAGTGTTCGTCCTTTATTGGCCAATATTGTCACATTGAAGCAATGTTTCGGGGCTGCGCAGGGTCCCCTTCATCAGGCACGGTGTGACACGGGGCAGTAATACACATAACATATATAGACATACAATTAACCTTATCACCCAATGGAAAAACAGTCAAGAAATGGGTGATTAGGTTAATTGTATGTCTATATATTATATGTGCATTACTGCACCTGTGTCATGCTGTGCCTGATGAAGGGGACCCTGCACAGCCCTGAAACATTGATTCAATGTGACAAAATGCATCAATAAAGGACGAACACTTCACCACATTGTTTGGTGTGCTGATGACATCCTGTTCTACGTTTGATGCCTGTGGTGTCATCTGCTGTCACTACAGCACCCACCTTCAGGGGTTCTTTGGTAAGGAGTGTGGCAGGACATCCTAAGGACTATGTGTTTGTGGAGACACGCACAACTTACTAGCACACACAAGGGTGGCTCCCTAGGACCTTGGAACGAAAGGGGCCACCCTAAAATAGGATATTAGGGCCAGTGCTCAGTGGACCAGCTAATTCTGCAGGAAACGAAAACTTTTGAAGTAGCTTAATAACCTTTTGACTTTAATATCACTTTAAATTGCAACTGAAGCCAAAGCTTTTATTAATTTTTGGATAGAATGGTGATGGATTAGTTCAGGTTTTTATTGCTGTTTTGATCTCCGTTAGGGAGAATCACCATCTCTATGTGTCCTGGCGAACATTATTACTGGAATTAAAAGGAAATCCTATATTTTGGGTTGTTAGTGGAACAGAAAATGATGGGAAATCTTCCAAGGGGGACAGTAGTTCTGGTATCAAGGTAGATAGGTAGGTAGATAGGTAAAGTGGTAGGTAAGATGGGTCACTTTGCTGTAAGGCAATAGAGATAGAGTGGAGAGGGATTCGACCCCCTGCCATAATATGAAAGTATGCTATGCATTATTATAAGAGCCCATAACCCCGCAAACGTTACATTTCTACTTTCATTTTTTTAAAAGAACAATTTCTCTCTAATAAATATGATAATATATGTTCATAAACATCATCCACTCTCCATGATTCATTTTCTCTATTTCTCCCAGATTTTTCTTCACGGGAACAATCTGAACAGTCTGCACCAGCTCATCCACCCAGAATGTTTGCCATCTGAATTTGGCGGAACCCTTCCTCCTTATGACATGGGCACCTGGGCTAGGACATTGCTTGGTCCTGATTACAACGATGACAATGAGTACACTCACACATCCTACAACGCTATGCATGTGAAGTATGCGCCTACCAATTTAGAAACAGAGTGTTCTCCGAAATTCATGAAAAGGTATTAATTTCTTGTGTAGCTATTGATCAATCACTCTTCTAACACGGACTGTAATTCCCCAAAGCCGTTTATATTATTACATTTATTGGTTTTGCAGTTGAAGTATTTGTCTCATGTGTTATACTTAATCAATGCTCAAGTTATCATTCATTTTGATGTAACCAGTAAAGCAGTAAAATCATTGTAAGATGAATGTGTTTTTTTATGTTGAAGTTTTTAGTGGGTATATTTTCTAAGAAACAAAAAGCTAGGGTTAAATGATACCACCCTAATAT